GCTTTCTAAGTTAAACAGCTTTTTTTGTACTCATTGCTTAAGTCGAAAGACGTAGCATTAATAGAACCTTGTAAGTGAAGTTCCAGCCTGTAAAGTAAATGCAAAATAACCAATGATTATTTTAATGTATTCAAATAATGCAGCAACTGACTGTGAGTAGTGCAGGAGAGAGACGTCGGCAAGTGACTGGCCACTACTATTGTAAACGTATTCCAATGTTGTTTAAGAAAAGATCTTCGTGAAACCTGCATTTATCAAGTATAATCAACTAAGATTTGCTATATGAGGAGCCCTAATAAAACTCTAATGTATTGGCTAAACAATGAGGTTGAAGAAATATAGAATAAATAATGTGTTGGTTCGGCGTAGCTCATCGGGAGTCATCATGTTATAAATGTAACAGTTTTTTCAAGGAACAGTGACCTAGTATTTGATAGGGTTTAAGTGAAATAAACTTTCTCAGCGTAGAATAAGATCACAGGTGGCAGCTGCTAGCCGCGAGTGGCACCCCGGAGGGGCGCCGACGAGCGACCAGCTGCTGCACTGGAAAGTTACTTTATGGAGGACGTTAAATTATAAAGATTCTACGGGAAAATGTGAACGGGTTAGATCTGATGGGCTTCAGTGGCGACTTAAAGTGATAAAAGAGGAGAAATATGTTCGTGAGTATCATATGACCAGTTTTTCTGTAAGGATAGAATATAGGGACATTTTATAGATGGAAAACATAATGAAAACAATTCAATTCGTTCTATCAAAAACGAATTTGAATGCAAAAGAATGAGCTTTTCTTTTGGTATATGTTCTTATGGTTTTAGAAAGTGTATTTCCTTTAGCAGATGATCAGTTGAAACAGTATATGCCGATATCGATTTTGGGTAAATGTGTGAAAAAGAAGACGGTAATTGGAAATCGTGTGACTTTTTTGCTCTTATGAATATATTTATCAATTAAGTGACTTATTTGTTGTTACCATGGAATGATTTTTGGCTATTTATGAACTAACTGCACGGGATAAAACTTAATACGCTATTGAAATTGGTCCTGTTTGAAATTTATAACAGAGTTTCTTTCATGCGTTGAAATCTATCGGTTGAGGAAATACATGCATGGATAAGCGTGGGGTTTAAAACTGGTGCCTAGCATTAATATGTCAAATGCTATTATTACTATTATGCAAAAATGATATTTTTAACCTTGTATTTTTTCGGGAATTTTGATATATGCAATGTCTAGCTTCTGTTATTCGAAGAAAGTCATTTTGAAAAGATATGTGTGAGTGACGTCGTAGCTTTCGTATTGGATGGACACTAAGAACCTGTCGTTCAAGTGCACTTATATTAAAAGAAGGACTTAGGTTTCGCTGGTGCCCCAAAGACGCGCCAACACACTACTAATCGTTCGCATTGCAAGCATACTGCGGACTGACTTCACAAAAGATGTGTATATCAGCTATATATTTTGAAGAATAGTACACTAAGATTGTCTTAATGAGGGCTTTGAAGAAAAGTCTGATTTTCCAGCCGTACAGTTAATTTGAGGAAATCAGAAATAATTCATGAGAATACTCCTGTTCGAAAGTTCTTGTCAATAAATCTAATGCTTCAGATATAACGAATTTTTGAAATAAGTTAATCCTAGACAATATGGAATTAAAATAGAGAGGAATCATATTATGAAACAATGGGGTTAGACTAGCTGCTGCAGTGGATTATCTTCAGAAGTGCCGCTGCGAAGTTTTGGGATTTATTTAATAAACACCAACAGTAGTCTAATAGGTTTGAGTAAGGGATGTCAGACGCAAAAATATGTCAAGTCAAGGATGAGAAACGATTTTTCTGTCTGAACACAATAGGTGAATAAGTTATCAGACGAAAAGCACTACTAAAAGAATTTATATTTGCCGTATCGACAGTTGACATGAGTGAAATATAAGAGTGTTTCTTTTGTTATATTCTTTTCTTTGTATTGATTCAAGAATCTGAATTTATACTCATACATTAAAATTACCTGTCTAGTCTTGTCGCTGCTTTGAACAAGAGCTTGTTTTATGTATGATATTTCGCTTTGCGATCAGATATAGTATGATTTATTTCCAGCTAGGGATTCATTGAGCTTCTACTTTCCTAGAGAACTCTATAGCAAACAGCGTTCTTGATGAATATTCTAGAAACTATACAAATTTTTAGTAGAATTTTCAAATCCTATGCTGCGTTTTCGTATAACTGTTGTGAACTTATTTTGTTACGTGGCCACTGAAAATATGGATTATGGTATCTCGTGATTTTTCGAAGTAAGCGTAGTTCGAGGTTAGCGGAAGTGTAAATAAAGATGAATTGGGTTGTTGAGACATAGAACGGAAAATAGCAGAGGCTAGCCGTGAGTGGCGCCCAGAGGGGCGCCGACGAACGACTAGCCACTGCACTAGAAAGCTCCTCGAAGAAAGGCTTCAGACTGTTGAGACTCATCCAATAAACATCAACAGCCTAGATCGAATGGATTTGAATAAGGAGTAGCAGTTGCTAACAACTGAGAAATGTTTTGAAATAAACTGTAATAACGCCTTTTCTTCACATGCACAATATATGTATAGTGCATTTGACGGAAAAAATCATTTGAAAACTTTATATTCATCTTATTGAAATGAGAATTGAATGAAATAAACAAGATTTTCTGCTGGAGTGTTTCCTTATATGTACTCATTCGAATGTTGATATGTATAGCGATATGTTCAAATTACCTATCTAGTCCAACGGCTACTTTAAGTAAGAGCTTCTTTCAAGTATGGTAGTTCGATTACAGATCAGACCTAATATGATTGATTTTAAGGGAAAGATTCAACTAAACCCGTATGTTTTTAGCAGACGCGCTACTAAACAATACTGTTAGCTGATGTTTTAGTAAGGGAATGGATTTTTTGGTAGAAATTTTAAAGGGTATGGCACGTTTTTACCAGATTGTTGTGAATGTGTTTCGAATCATTATCTCCGAGAAAGCTGAATATAGACTGTTTCTTCGGACACATATAGATATCGCCGGCATAATGTAGTTCTTTTGATTTTTGTTGAGTGGTTGTGGGTGTGAGTGTGAGTATCAGTGGGGGGTACGTGTGGGCGTGTGGAATGTGAGTGTGAGGTGGGGGTGTGGAATGTGAGTGTGGGGTGTGAGTGTGGGGTATGAGTGTGGGATGTGGGTGAGGGGTGTGGGTATGGAGTGTGAGTGTGGGTGTGAGTGTCAGTATTAGTGTAAAGAAGACTTTCATATTCACACCCACACTCATACCCCCACCCTCAGCCGTACCTCATCATAGGACGGCGGTATTTCGGCGCCAGATATTACGACCAGAATGCGGTACGTTTCTGTCTTATAAATTAATCGTATGCAATCGTTTATGGGCCGTATTGTTCAACATGGGCACCCACAAGAATTTGATGTTACTTAGTTTGGTTTTGAGACTAGAACGGATTTTGAATTTGGTTTCAAATGACCTGAAATCTCGAAGTGTTTCGTAAGAGAAGGCGATATCAACAATAATCTACTTTAGAGGAAGAAGAATACTACGCCCTTCGACTACCTTGCAGTACAGAGTGCTGCCTGAGAACAGCTTCGAAAGCCCGATATTTTTCCTAAATCTATTACTAAATGTAGCTCTGAACAGAAGGCTGGGCTGACTCAGAGTTCTCCTGCTTAATCACTTAAGCTTCCCGTACATACTGACCTACCATATACTAGCCACAAGGGTTTTAGCATATGTCAACCATGTAGACAGTTTGTTATCGGATGGGTGATCCGAGACAAAACAGCCATTAGTGACTTGTCCAAGGTCATTTTATGATTGATGAAGTTGAGGTTCGAACACAGTACTTTATGGGTATGTGTCAAACATCTTAACCTTTCAGCCATACCGGCCACAATCTACTTTAGTATAGATGCAGCACGACGAGAAGAAAATTTTGTAAGTTGGAGCCAAATCACTAGTATTTGTATTTGGTATTGGACAAAAACAGTATAAATATTTTGCGTTTTCATTAAGATCACCATATGGCAAATGGTTTATGTGGATTTGATCCAAAAGCAACTTCATGGTCCCAATCCAAATTCAAATCGAAATTCAAACCTAGGCTCTAAATATAAATATAGATTCCAAGGTCCTTGATCTCAAATTTATTTTAGATTTGTCGCACCTCTACTCTAGATCCACACCCATCCATAGTGACGATATTCAGAGTCAAGCATCTTCATCCACATCCATCCCTTTTGTTATCGAGATGTTAGCTTTTTCTGTTCAACAAAACAAATTTCAATGTTGACTAGGCGAGTTTAAAATTTGCCTGAATTTTAATTTGGACCCCAACATTTATATTTTGTTTATATACAGGGTGGCCAAAAAGTCGGTTTACCGAAAAAAAATTGAATATCTTCCTTACGGCTCAAGCAAACAAGTTAATTTTTTTATCAGTGATAGAGGCATGTCCAAAGTTTATTTTCATAAAGAAATGCTTAGAGAGATCCTTTATTAAGTATCACTATAGACCTCAACAAAAAAATTTTACTTCTTCTCATACAGGAAAAAAGTCAATATATGATAAAGAAAGGTCACTTTATCAAGACAAAATGCATAATCAAACAAATGAACGTGTTGATAACACGTGTTATATATTCATACATATTTTCTCTTCCTATTTCCCCCCTTCTGCTCCACTATAATCCACGTCGAAACTTCACAAAATACAAATTTGTTTATTTGCTATATTGTTGGTCATATTAGTCTGCTGTCTGTCAACGTGTGTTTTATGTATTCTTGATGAGGTTTGTTCTTGTCTGTCAACATTTTCAATTGTATGTTCAGTATGTAACTCTTACTTCGGTTCATATGTTTCTAGATATCCTTATATCTGACAAATGAACAAAGGATTTTTCTCTTCAAACAATGATGGATATCAGGAAGAAATTTTCGAAAAGTAAATGCAGCTTTTCGATATGAATTTCCTGACGAGAAAATGCCAGCTCGACAAGCAATCTACAAACTAGCAAAAAAGTTTGATGATACAGGTTCTGTTGAAGATTCGCCACGAAGTGACAGACCGACAACAGTCAGAACAGAAGAAAATATTCAACTTGTTTCTGAAGCTTTTGCTCGGAATCCACAAATATGTCAAAGACGTGCATCACTTAGGCTTGGTATCTCACGCACAAGTTTACAACGCCTTATGCAAGATCTGAATTTAAAACCTTATAAACCAAGATTGTTGCAGGCGTTGAACGAGGATGATCCGGATCGAAGACTGGAATTTTGTGAATGAATTTTAAATTCAACTCAAAAAGATCCAACTCTATTAGATCGAATCCTTTGGACGGATGAAGCCACATTCCAAATAAACGGCCGTGGCAACAGACATGATTGTGTTTATTGGAGTGATATAAATCCACACTTCATCATCGAACAAGAGCTCTATGTACCACAAGTGATTGTCTGGGGAGGAATTTGGTCGAAAGGTGTTGTCGGACCATCTTTTTTTGAAGCTAATGTTACATCACAAAACTACCTTCAGATGATGAAAGACAATATCATACCGCAACTTGAAGAATATTCAGCTTTTCAAACAATGATCTGGCAGCAAGACAGCGCACCACCTATTATGGTCAAATTGTGCGCGAGTATTTAGATGATACATTTGTAAATTGGATTGGTCGTCGAGGGACTGTTAAAAGGCCACCATGATTTCCAGATTTAGCTCCATGTGGTTTTTCACTGTGGGGTATTATGAAAGATCGTGTATATACTCAAAGTCCTCGCGACGTAAATCATCTGAAGTCAATAATTAAACAAGAATTTACATCTCTCAACGATGATATGAACTTGTGCCAAGCAATTTGTCGATTTGTAGCTGATTGTTGTCAGATGTGTATCAACGCCGAGGGAAAACAATTTGAATATCTGCGCTAGAGTATTGTTCATTTTTTGTTTTGGAGAATTCAAACAATAATATTGATAGTGGTATGCTACTGTTCTTTTATTTTCTTCTCAATAAAGAACCATAAGATGCATTTCATAATAATGAAAAAAAAAATATGAATGAGAATTTACATTTTGCCTTGATAAAGTGACCTTTCTTTATCATATATTGACTTTTTTCCTGCATGAGAAGAAGTAAAATTTTTTTGTTGAGGTCTATAGTGGTACTTAATAAAGGATCTCTCTAAGTATTTCTTTATGAAAATAAACTTTGGACATGCCTCTATCACTGATAAAAAAATTAACTTGTTTGCTTGAGCCGTAAGGAAGATATTCAATTTTTTTTTTGGTAAACCGACTTGAGGGCCACGCTGTACTTTCAAGTGTGTTAAATCTAACGGGTGGTCCAGATTAAATTGCCGGCTTTTGTGAAATACATTTTGATTAACTGTTTTACTTTAATTAAAAAAACAAAGTATACCATCGAATAGAGCAAACAAAACTTTACATTTTCGCATAGAAAACTAATTTAATATATTCTTTTAGAACTGAAAATTTCGAAAATTTGATATGACCAAAAAGTGGCATTGCTCGCTGACCTACTATCTGTACAAATCGTACAAATTTTTCAATTTTTTGTGCAACTATCGATCATTTTCAATCTTGTTTCAACGCTTAGGTCGAGCGATAATGTTATAGACATGATTAATGATAAACAGGATGATATGTCCAGTGGTCGAATACTAAAGCTATCACAACCAGAAGTTTTTGCTTTTCACCTGTTTCTATCGATACAGTAGACACGTTATTCTTTGCACTGGATCTGTGAATAGTTAACTGTACTCGAACTGGTGTTCTATAGTGATACTACGAGAAGCGTGACATTACGAAACAGTACTCAACGTAAAAACCACTTTTGATCCATACCAAAGAAATTTTGTCTCAAAAATAATAAACATGTGTGGAAAAGCTGCTACTGACAACTGCCTTTCCTAGAAACAAGTCCAATCATTGCCCCTCAAACAAAGCACCTGGAAACATATTATCAATATAAACATGTTAAATGTCTATATCTGTAATTTTACCTGTTGACATAAGCGTTGAAACAAGATTGAAAATGATCGATAATTGCAAAAAAAAAATTGAAAAATTTGTACGATTTGTACAAATAGTAGGTCAGCGAGCAATGCCACTTTTTGATCATATCAAATTTTCGAAATTTTCTATTCTAAAAGAGAATATATTAAATTAGTTTTCTATGCGAAAATGTAGGGTTTTGTTTACTCTATCCGATGGTATACTTTGTCTTTTAATTAAAGTAAAACAGTTAATCAAAATGTATTTCACAAAAGCCGGCAATTTAATCGGGACCACCCGTTATATATATAATGTTCAGTGTCTGTCTGTATGTGTCTGTGTCGGGTCAAAGGTTAAAGGTTGAATAAGGCTATAAAGGGGCAAGGCTATAAATGGATAAGTCTATAAGGGAGTAAGGCAATAAGGGCTAAGGCTATAAAGGGTAAGGCCATAGGATGGTAAGACTTTAAGGGAGACAGGCACTAAGCGGGAAGGCTATAAGGGAGGAACGCTATAAGGGGGGGGGGGGCTCTCTAAGGGGATTAGGCTACAAGGTGTAAGGCTAGAATAGCTGCAAGAAATATAAGGCTATAAGGCCGTAAGGCTACATGGGCTATTAGTGATATAAGAATATCATGCCATAGGGCTTCTATGTACATAATATCGAGGATCTGTGTGTCTGTTACCGAGTGAAGGGTTAAAGTTTTGATGTCACACGTTAAAGAAAAAACTCTGCCGTACAGTATGCACGGGTTCTCGCTAGTACTATAATAATATTAAGAAAAGATACAGTTTATGTTGTATAAGCCAAAAAAAAAGTGTTTTTGTGATCTTCATTCAATTGGGTTCAGTTTGTATTATATACAGACGCGTATGTGTAGAACAGTTTAAAATACATAGAACTCGAATTAACGTTGTTTCTTCTACTTTTAGAAAAAAAATTGCTGTTTCACTGCTTTTCACAACCTGAAGAGATTTTTTATTTAGTTCATTCCATACATATGGGAAAAGTTGTCTGTGATCTGCATTGTTGTGAGAGCATTTTCCAGGGCTCAAAACACTTTTCTTAGTGGAAACTAGTGTTCTATATACTTCCTATGTAGTTAAAGAGAATTCTATATAAATGATTCTTTTCAATTTCTATATATTCCTATATTTCCGTCAAGTAGCGGTACGAATCCAGAACTTTAAACTTATTTTAAAGTTAAGGTAAAAGGATTAACCCTGCTTATTACTAGTGTCCATCCAAAATATCGGCGCGTGTGTGACGCGTTTTTGAAGAACTCGAGGATAAATAGGTATAGAGACCTGCGGCTTTCGCCATGCAAAAGAGTGATTCTGGGGCCATCTATCTGAATAAGATTAATCAGATTCGAAGAGTATTTTCATGATTGCTTTGAAACTGACTTCTTTTTTCGCTGCTTTTTTTTCATCAGATTTCACGAGAGTTTCAACTCAAATTATACAAAAATGCACCCGAAAGCATTCAATGTTGGCGTTAAAATTTTGAATTATTCTTTCGATCTTTTTCTTCTATATTTTTGTAGGAGTATGATAATTCTTTTAGGAATATAGGGTGGCTTTGGGTACATTTGTTTTTTTATTTAAGTTGAAATTCTCGAGAAATCTGATGAAAAAATGCGGCGAAAAAGATGTCAGTTTCAAAGTGATCATTAAAAACTCTTCGAAACTAATGAATCTTATACAGATAGATGCTTTCAACATCGCTCTTTCGAATGATGAAAATTGCAAGACTCTATTCTTTTTTATCCTTCAGTTAATCAAAAACTAGTCACACACACCGGTATTTTGAATGAACAATAGTAATAAATAATATAAATGTAAGAGTAATAAGAGTAATTAGTAATAAATTTACAAGAAACTGCTCCATATATCGGTAATAACGAATAATAAAAGCTCTAGTGCCATTAAAATAATAAAAACAAAGCAAACTGTGATGGAAAGTAATAAGTAATAAAAGTAATAAAATATTATTACCAACTACCAAGTAATGGTAATGTGACACCCCTATAGGCAACTTGATTTTGTTATTCCTTTAAAAACAAAAGGACATGTGAAGAAACAGAAACACTAGCACAACGAATTTGCAATTTTTATTTTAATGCATCAAATAAATCGTGTAAAACGACTGAAACATGATATTAAACTAATAGTATAGGTATATCAGCGGCTGCTACGTATTAATGAGAAAGATGCTGTATTCTTTTTCGTAAGTTATGACTGATTGTTGATTGATTAACGTTGAAACGCTTAGTTAACTTACGATGACTGAGACCAAAACCATTAGTGACAGATTTCACCAGCTGATTAGAAAATCTTATTAGAAAATCACACCTCGGTAAAATTTTGGTTTGTCTATATATCAAATATTTGTTTTATATGTTATGAATCGGTGTCCTTGAAAAGCCTTACTTTATCAATATCAATAATTGTTGTTTTACACAATTTATTTTTATGAATTGATATAAAATTACAAATTCGTTGGGCGAGTTGTTCTTTTGCTTCTCATGTCATTTTGTATTTAAAGAATACCAATATTCAGTTGTATACAGTTCGGAAGAGGAGAAAAGTTCCTATCAGCTGATAAAATGATTATTTTTCCAACATATGCTTACTAATGGGATATAGGAGTTGATATTTTGTATTGTTATTCTACATTATATAAAAAGTGCTGACTCATTTTCAGGATGTTTCTCTTTTCGGTTGCGACATTTCATATATGAATGTGTCGTAAAAACAAGTTACATACAATTCGAAAGAGAAAAAATTTCTCTCTCTTTTGGTAAATAAAATTTTCTTTCAGTAACTGTCTATCGAAGAGAAATAGAGTTCGATATTGGTTCCATTACTTTTGCACCATATGTTATTTTATTACTATGCATGAAGAACTCATTAATATTCGTGCCTATTCGCTGAAAAGAGCTTGATATACCTTTTTGAAAATTGTATTTCCGTCCTCCGTTTGACTAAAAACTTTCAATGTTTTGACGATTCGAAACAGGAAGCTTTGAATGTGTAAAGAAACGAAAATTTTTACTCCTCGTTCATACTGAAACTTCGAGGCTTTATCTACTTTCTAAATAGGTGAAACTGCTTAAAACATGCAAAAATGTAAAAAAGCAAAACCTTTATAGTGTTTCAATATGACTCTTCATGACTGTGTATGTCTACAAAATACATAATTTATGAACAAAACACATACATGCATTATGCTAGCCGTTGTTAACCAACCAGTTGGAGTCTTGAGAT